GTGAAGCTCATGTATCACCTTCTATGAGAAGCCTTTCCTTATTTCCCTGTCCCCCAATTGCTAATGCCCTCTCTCCCAGACTACTTAGTAGCTGACCACTTTGTCTTAATTTGTATTTATTCTCTTAATATTTATTCTGAATATACATATATATATATATACTTCATGTCTCCCCCCAACAGAATGTAAGCTCTTTGCAAGCAGGGATTGTGTTATTCTTTGTAACCCACAGCACCTAACATAGTGCCAAACAGTTAGATGATACAGCCTGGAGACAGAAAGACCTGAGTTCATATCCGACCTCAACTCTGTATCAACTCTGTAACCCTGGGCAAGTCACTTAACCTCTGTTTACCTCAGTTTTCTCATCTGTAGAGTGGGATTAATAGCACCTACTACCCAGGACTGTTGTGAGGATCAAATGAAATAATAATTGTGAAGTGCTTAGCACATAGTAAGTGCTAATATAAATGTTTATTATTATTAGCATGTAGTAGGTATTTAATAAATTCTTATTGATTGATGATTTGGAAGTTGTTTTTTTTTTAAAAACAAATCCTTCCTCTCCTCTGCTCCCAACTTCCCCCACAACTAAATCCCTCAAAACTGAAAACTGAATTTTGATAGCCTTTGATAAGGAGGAGAATTAGGTCAGCTGAACTTTCCCCCCTTCTTTTGCTAGAACATTATAGGACTCTTTTGATCAAACAACTAAATGTTTTTTATTCTTTTCCAGTTTCCTCATCTGTAAAATGGGATAACAATACTACTACTAATAATAATATCTCCCTCCCAGGGTTGTTCTGAGTATCAGATGTTGTGAGAATAATGTTTGTAAAGCACTTTGTAAACTTTAAAGAGTCATATAAACGCTAGCTATCAATACTCTTAATATTCCATACAAACCAACCTTCTTCATGTTTCCCATAGATAACATTTTACCTCCTGCCTCTCTCAGCCTTGTCAGTTGTCCCCCATTCCTGGAAATGCTCTCCCTCTATACCTCCATTTCTTGGAAGTCCTAGCTACCTTCAAGGTCTGGTTCAAATGTCGCAGCCTTTTTTTAGTGTCCTATTTTATGAAGCACTTAGCTAAGTGCCTGGCAAATAATAGGCACTTAAATGTTTATTCCTTCCCACCCTGTGCTCCTTCCCCTTTTCTGTGGGGTTTCTTGGGATGTATATTCCTGTTTATATTTGTCTGTGAATATATTGTCTCTTTTCCCTTTAAAAAAATATTTCTTTGATTTGTTTTTTTGAACATTTTAGTCCTTCTTTATGCATAATTCCAAACCGCTTTCTGGAATGGCTGGTCCAAGTTTGCAACTCTTCCAACAACCTATTAGTTTGCCTATCTTTTCACAACCCATCCCATACTGACTATTCCTATCTTTGCTGTTGTTGCCATATTTGTCTATTTTCTGGGCATAAAATCAACTTCAAAATTTTAATTTCTTTAACATTTTCTGTCTGTTATAGTCACTGATTTCTCTATGGTGTCCTTGCTCTCAAAGCGCTTCTTACAGTGAATCATTTCCCTTCTGTAAGCCCAGACTGTGGTGCTTCTCTCTCAGTCCTGTTCTGGGCTTTGCTCTCTCAGGGAAGTTCTGTGGTCTACAAGGGGCAAAGGCATCTCCTTGGAACATTGCTGCAGGGAGGCTCTGACAGGCCACTGTAGCTGGACCTTATCTCCACCTTTCTTAGTCCCACTCTTGTGAATTTCCTTCTCTTTTATGAAGCTGGCTTTCTTTAATGCGTAGGCTGACCACAGGCAACTGGTTGGGAAATGACTGAGGGAAGGTCCCTGAGGGAAATTCTGAGACACATTTGCAATTAGTTCTCTTTTCTTTTTTTTTTTTAATTAATTAATTTATTTTGGGTTTTCAACATTTACTTCCAGAAGATTTTGAATTCTAAATTTTCTCCCTCTTCTTCCCCTCCCCCCTTCCCAAGACAGCGTGCAATCTGATATAGGCTCTACATATACATTCATATTAAACATGTTTTCACAGTAGTCATGTTGTAAAGAAGAATTAGAACCAATGGGAGAAACCACGAAAAAAGAAGAAACAAAACAAATAAAAAAAGAGAGAACAAATTGTATATTTTGATCTGCATTCAGACTCCATAGTTCTTTTCCTATATGCGGACAGCATTTTCCATCATTAGTCTTTTGGAGTTGTCTTAGATAATTAGGAATAATAGATAATTATTAAAGGTAATTGTCTTAGATAATTAGATAACTGGACCTGTGAAAATATGTTTCTCTCATTCCTTCTGGTGATTGCCCATTTCCTCTGTAACCAGCACCTGCACTTTTGGCCTCTTTCTGCCACAGGCTTCTCCTATCATGATCCAAGATCTTCTATGGTCACCCCTTTTCCTTGCTTTCATGCCTCAGGGTTGGTCTGAATCATGGGCTTCAAACTACTCGGGGATCTGGGTCCCCATATACCACAGAAGGATGTTGGGCCTCAATTACATTCTTTTTCCATAAGAATTACCTGTAGTGTTTTTCTCTCTAATTTTCCTCTTCTTGTCATGGTTATATTTACTCCCATTGATGGGGTGGGGCCAGGTTGGGCAGGATGATGAAAGTGGCAGTGGAGGGATGGGGGGTAGCTTGATAGCACAGTGGATAGGGAAGTCCTCAATTCCATCCTCTTCAGACACTTACTGGTTCCATGACCCCGGGCAAGTCACTTAATCTGTCTCAGCCTCAGTTTCCTCATTTGTTAAATGGGGATAGTAATAGCATCTACCTCACAGAGTTGTTGTGAGGTTCAAATGCAATAATAGATGTAAACTGCTTTGCAAACCTTAAAAGTGTTGTATAAATTCTGCTATGATTATTAATTATTATTATTGGCAGTGGAGTGAGAACTGTGACCTAGTTTACTTTCTCACTCTATTACCTCTCCAGGATCCATGATTCTGAGACTTTTTTTCTGAACTGGACCTGTGATTTCATTAGCGTAGGGAGCTTATGGAAAAGCATTTCCCCTACCATTACTGTTCATTACTTGCCCTGTAATTTCTAGTTTTAGGTAGTATCCTGTGGCACTGAGAGGTTAAGGTATCTTGTCCAGGGTCTTAGGGATGTGAGGTAAGCCTAGATAATCTTGACTCAGAGAAGTTAGAACTATCCATTATACTAGGCTTCCTTTCTACATATATTATTAGTATAAATAATTTATATCGTAAGTGTATCAATTGTACTGATATGTCCACTTCCAGGATTAAATAAGTATGAATTGTTAGCAAGGGATCCTGGCTCAGGAATGCTTCTAGAAAGTAGTAATGGATCAGAAAGGGTTAGGAAGGAGGTGTTCTCCATAAGGATTCAGTACATCTTTTATCACAGTCATATACCCCAAGTGTAAATTATTTAGCTCCAGAGTAGGGAAATGGACTGAGACAATAGACAGAGACAATAAACAGGAAATAGACACCCTCATCCCTCTGACTGCCTTCCCCAGATGGAAGACCAGCAGAGCAGATACACAGAGGCCCAAAGTCAACCACCGTAACTGTTACCCAGCCACATAAAAGTCCCACTTGCCTCCAGTTCAATCTTTCACTCAATATCTCTGTCTCTGTTTCTTTGCTTCTCCTCCTCTCCCTCCCTGTTCTTCCCCCACCTCTTTCTTTTTCTCTCTCCCTCCTCTCTTTCTTTCTTCTCTCCCCAACTCTCTGCCTCCTCTTTCTCTTCCTCCTCTGTCTCCATCTCTCTCCCTCACTCTTCTTTCTCTCTTCCCTCCTCTCCCTACCTCTATCTCCCTTCATATGCAATTTCTATGCAAGCTTCACTATTTTATTATCTAGTTTTCTAAAAAGTTCCAACCCCATTTGTTTTGCTTCCTTCCCTTAATCACCCTGGCAAGCAAGCAGGACGGAAGAGGTGATATAATCATCCAGTATCCTGTCCCATATGTTCTCTTTCACCAAAGTAGTCTTACTCCCCTTCCCCACCCCCAACTCCACTATACTGACTTATTAAGTTCATCACACATTTCCAAACAAGAGTCAAAACTTATTTGTAAGAATTATTTGCTAAAGAAGTAGATCAAGTAAAATTCATAACGAGAAAACTTTAGGGGAAAAATGAGGTTTTACCCAACTGAAACTAAAATCAGTCAAGTTCAGGTGAGATGTTTTGTACCTACAAAACAGGGTTAAGAGTATTAGAAAATGTTTCCCAAGTCATTTGACATTCACAGTTAAGGGAAGGGAGACGAAGGACAGCTGTGCTTCTCATGGTGTACTTTTAGAAAGGTTCAGTGAGCACAAAAGTCCCCCTGAATGGGCTTGGTTAGTTAGGCAGATCCTGTGCCCATTTATAGAGAAATTTCTTTCCTGGCCCAAATTACATCTAGGTGTGAGTGTTTCTGTTGGGGGAGAGTGTGTTTAAGGGGAAGGCCCACAACTGAGGATGTCCAATAAATATGATAAAAGACGTTTTCTTATATTATTTCATTGACAAATATCCTACTCACTCACTTGATCCATTCAAAATCAGGCATCATGTACCATTTCCAATCTAAAGAAGTAGTTCTTCAATTTTGTGGGTTCTGCTAGGAGAAAGTTTATAATCAATTCTTTAGAGGCAGCTAGGTAGCACAGTGGATTAGAATGCTGGACTTGGAGTCATGAAGACCTGAGTTCAAATTCTGCCTCAAACACTTACTGGCTGTGTGACCCTGGACAAGTCACTTAACTGCTGTCTGCCCCAGTTTTCTCATTTGTAAAAATGGAGAATGTAATAGAAATTACCTCCCAAGGTTGTTGTAAGGACAAAATTAGATAAAATTTATAAAAAGTGCTTAGCACAGTACATGGTACATAGTAGTCACTTAATAAATGATTATTTACTTCCTACTTTGATACTTGTATACTCAAATGCATCTATGCACTCATTGATGTTAACATTCTCTCCTGCAGTGATGATTTGAAATCTACCCACACTGTTTCAACCTATATGACCTTTGTCCACTTTTTTAGGGAATCTTTCCAATATTCCGGGGGCCTGTCCTCTAGAGCTCTTGATATCCCAATGGAGCACATGAACTGTCTACTTGCTATTCACCTGTTATTGGGATCCATGGACACTAGACATGGACTGTGTGCCTTTCATTCCTCACGCTAAGTACATTATTGTACACCTCTTCTTCTGGTTGAACATTTCTCTGGTGGCACCCTTGATGGAGCTGTTGATGCACAAGTATCGAATGGTTACGTGCTGCCTTCGGAGATGATCTCCAATTTATCCTGCATATATTTTGTATGTGGGTAGTTACTTATATGTTGTCTCCTCCATTAGAATGTGAGCTCCTGAAGTCAGGAACTGGTTTTTGCCTTCTGTATCTCCAGTCCTTAGCACAGTGTCTGGCACATGGCACACAGTAATAAACACTTATTGACTGGCTGACTGCCTTATTCACATCCATTATTCATCCAGTTCACCAAAATTTATACTTTTCTGTGACATTTTCATCACCTTCCATTATGATAGAATAGACACCTTTGAGTATAACTTGAAGACATACAATGATGTCTGCATCAGGGATAAATTTTTACTAAAATTTATATTGTCATTTTGTCTGATTTCTTCTGACTTTTGGGTCCACCAGACTATAAAAACTAATACAGGAACCCAAACACCTGAGATTTTAGTGTATTGTTGATTTGTTCTATAACCTTGGGTCCACTGCTAATCACGTAGACCTTAATTTCCCAGTTTATAAATAAGAATAAGTAATAATACTATACCCCCCCAACCTCCTCCCCTAGGCTATTTCAGGGATAACTTTAGCTCTCTAAAGTGATTCTAATTTATCCAAAGGAAGTTGTTACCAAAATTTAAGATATTATTGGAACCTCCCACTAGTGTCTAATAGATGTTGAGTTCCTCAAAGGCAGGGACTATTTTTTTTTTGCTTTCATTGAATCCCTAGTGTTTAGTACAGTGCCTGGCACATAGTGGATGCTTAATAAATGTTTACTGACTGTCAATGTGATAGTATATAAGCTTACTGATTTTGCTTCTAATTTAGATGTCAGACACCAGCAAAATAGTGAATACTTTTTATCTATGACCACAAAATAAGTAGGAAAAGTAGGTCCAGTTCCTATTCACAAAGTGGAATCATATCTGCATTTTTATAAGTGTTCAGTAGCTAAAAACTCGAGAGATGAAATTAGAAACTAGAAACTCTGCTATGCCATGTTTAGTCACACTTTCCCAGTTGTACGTTCTTAGGTATGGAACACCTCTTTCCTTCACCTCTAAAAGCCTCAAGCCTGGCCAAGTTTCTTTCACTTACACTGAGTTTAAGGGCAAAAAGGGAGAAGAAAGTACTACATGTACTCTAGAGGTAAAGACAATATTCCCTTTGGCTCCTAGAAAATATCTTTCAGATGGGCAAAGAAGTTCACTTTAAGAAAACTAAATTCTAGCCAAGGTTCAAAAAGCAATCCTACTATAAAGGGAATCAAGGAATGGAGGAATGGATTTTTTTTTTTTTTGTAAGCTGAATATATACTCTATACTCTGTTCTTGTCGGACTACATCCCACATCTCATGTTTTGTCCTGAGCACCATAAGTAAGAACATTGATAAACTGGAGGAGGATGTCCAGGATGATGAAAAGTAGAGACCATAGCTGTGTGGGCTTCAGTAGAAAGAGCTTGGATCATTTAGCCTGGAAAATAGAAAGGGGTAGAGGGGGAAGCGACACAGATATATTGCATTCTTCAAGTATTTGAATGGCTGTCATATATGGAAGAGGCATTATATGTCTTCTTCTTCTTGGCCCCAGAAGGAAGAACTTGGAGCAACTTGTGGAGGTTACAGAGACAGATTTCAGCTGGATAGATGGAAAACCTTTCTAAAATTATTTCTGTCTAAAAAGTATGATGGGATATCTTTAGAAGCAGAGGATATCTCATCCTGGGAAGACATTAAGTGGAACCTGGATGACCACTGTTTGGAGATTTTTAGAGAAGATTACTATTCAAAATTAGCCAAGATGGCTTGTGAATTACCATCTAGCTCCAAGATTCTGTGATATCTTATTCTAGTAAGAGACCTTTTTTTTCTGAATCCTCTAAAATTATTTTTTAATGCCAAATATCAAACAACATAAAACATTAAATAATCTTGGAGTGGTTGAAGGATCCTTGTATGTGCCAGTTATTTACATATTATTTCTACCATTAAAATATAAATTCAAAAAAGACCATTAAAAAGGACTCATCGATTCATCTTTCTTTTCTTCCTTTTAAAAATGTATTATTACTACCTTCTTCTGCCCTCTCCAGCCCCAGCTCTTCAAAAAAAGAGGGGGGAAAAAAAGCCTTCCCTTGTAGGGAGGCATGTGGAAGAGTAGAAAAGGCAATGCATGGGTTCAAATCCAGCCTGTGACACTAGCTGTGTGATTCTGGGCAAATCACTTAATCTCTGTCTGCCTCAATTTCTTCATCCCTAAAATGGACATTGTAGTAGCACCTACCTTATCAGGGCTGTTGTGAGGATCAAGTCAAATGAGACGATATATCTGCAAAAACCCCTTCTCAGTCCCCCTTAATGCTAGTACGTTTCCTTTACAATCATTTCCAATTTATCTTATATCTTGGATGTATGTAGCTTTTTGTCTGTTTTCTCCCCATTAGACTGTGAACTCATTGAGAGCATGACTGTCTTTTGCCTACCTTTGTTCTCTAGGCTTAGCACTGTATCTAGCAAAGTAAGTAGGTGCTTAATAAATGCTGTTTATGACTACTTATGTAAAAGTGCTTTGCAAAACTTAAAAAAAAACACTATTTAAATATTAGCTATTATTATTAGCTCCCAATTCATTAATGAAAGGCTCTCAGCATCTGGAATGTCTTTTTATTTTCAGTTCTAGTGTAAATGAATCCCTGTGCCCTTTGCACTGAAATTGGAAAACTCCAGCAAAGGCTAGCAAAGCAGAGAACTCCATTAAGAACCTAGATTAAAAAAAAAAAAGAATCTAGATAATTCAGACCAAAACAAAAGCTTTCATTTGAAATATTCAAATAATTGGGGCAAGAAATGTTTTCTTTGGTCCTGGCTTGAATTCCTAATGTAATTGCTCAGTTCTCAGAAATACTCATCTTTCCCAAGCCCAGATTCCTCCAGCCACTTACTGAGCCAGATGGGTCCCTTAATGACCTGAAAGTGTAAAACTCCATACACACCAAACTGAGCATCTTTGCCTCAAGGCAGGCATAAAGATGAGATATCTACTTTGAAGATATATAATTATCTAACCTCAACTAATGATTCAATAACAAAGCCCAACCTTTATCTAGGTTTCCTATCTCCTGAGTTTAGAACTTTTACAATTAGCTCTGATTCAAACAGCAAACAAGTAAACAACAACAAAAATATAATAAACCCTCAACCAGGAAACAGGTGGAATTCTGGGTTCCAAAGTTTCACTCAGCTTCTATTCCATAACCATTTATTAAACTTTCCTATTGGAAAGCATTGTAAGTGTTGTGGGAGAGACTAAGATGTGGTTCCTGACCCCAAGGGTCATAGGGTCAAAGATTTAGAGCTGGAAGGGATTATAGAGATCATCTAGTTCAACTGACTTCTTTTGTAGAAAAGGAAACCTGAGTCTCAGAGAGGTTGTCATTTGTCTACAGTCATGCAATTTTAGCTGGCACTTGAAGAAAGCCAGGAGGCAGAAATGAGGAGGGAGAGTATTTCAGGTATGGGGGACAGCCAAAGAAAATGCTTATATTCAGGAGGTGGAATGGGTATTATTCAAGGAACAGTAAGGAAGTCAATGATATTAGATTACAGAGTACATGTAACGGAGTAAGGTGTAAGAAGACTGGAAAGCTAAGAGGGGCTTAGGTTAGGAAGAGCTTTGAATACAAAATAGAAGGTTTTATATTTGATCCTGGAGGTGATAGGGAGCAACTGGAGTTTTTTGAATAGGGGAGTGACATAGTCAGACCTGTGCTTTAGGAAGATCACTTTGACAGTTGAGTGTAGGATGGACTGGAATGAGGAGAGACTTGAGCCAGGCAGATGCACCAACAGGTTATTGCAATAATTCAGGGATGAGATGATGAGAGCCTGCATTAAGGTGGTGGCAGCATTAGAGGAGAGAATCTTTGAGAGATATTAGACAAAATATTTGAGATATATTAGATAAAATTAGCAGAATGTGGGAATAGATTCAGTATAGAAGATAAAAGAGTGAGAAGGCAAGGATGACAGCTAGGTTTTGAGCCTCAGTGACTGGGAGGATGGTGGTAACCTCTATAGTAATAAAAAAAATTAGGAATAGGGGAGGACCTGGAGGAGGGAAAGATAATGAATTCAGTTTTGGAAAAGTTGAATTTAAGATGTTTGAGTTTGAGATGTGGGAGGAGGCAGTTGTAGTGCAGAGGAAGAAAAATATACATGGGATTGAAAGTCAGGATACCTGGGTCCAAATCCAGGCTCGGTTACTTACCATCTTTGTGACCTTGGGCAAATCACTTAAGCTGAAGCTTAATCACTGAAGCTCTCTAAGCTTCAGTTTCTGCATCTGTAAGATAAAGGATCAAACTAAATAATCTCTAAGGTCCCTTTCAGCCTTAAATCTACAATTGTATGACCCAAATTACAATTTCAGTTCTGCTGACACTACCTGTGTGACCTTAAAAAATAGTTTTCACTCTCTAGGCTTTAGTGTCCTCATGTCTATAATGGTGATGATGGACTCAATTTTCTGTAGTGTCTCACCTCTAAATCTTATGATCTTATCCAAAATAATGTCATTTTTTAAAAAGTAGAAACTGGAGAACAGTTGGCTTTGATAAAAGTCCTATCCTCAGGCTTCATCCTAGTAATAAATAGAACCATAACCCAGAAAAGGACGAGGTCCCTTTCATTTTAATGACATGAATTCTCAATAGTTGCCAGGTGCATAGGTGTTTTCAGAACCTGGAAGGAATAGTAATAATAATAATAAGAAGAAGAAGAATAGCTAGCATTTATATAGTACCTTCTATGTTCATTCCAGGCACTGTGCTAAGCACTTTA